GGAAGAGCAATACACAGGTCTCTGCAGAGATAGGCTCACCCTGATTTTATTTTCTTTCATTAAAGAAGCAAGGATGGCAGTGGTTGATGTAAAGCTGAATGAAAACTTGGGAGCAGGTAGTTGTCAGGTGAGCAGGCCACCCCCAAATAATGTACTCTCCGAGAACCCCAAGCAACAGATTGTCCTGATTGCCCTGCACGTTTTTATGTCCCATATGCAGCTGAGAAGCAAGACTCAACCAAAGTAAGGTTAGACACCAAACAAGAGCATGCATAGTTTCGAGGGTGGATAAAAATGGTGGCTGTTTCTGAGACTTCTGAGTTTGCTTATTGGCACCTTGTGAGAACCAAAATCCATACCACCCCATCCCCAGAGACCCTGATTCAGTTGTACAGGCTGGGCATGGGATTTTGCCAACATCTCCAAATGATTCCCAGGTGACAGCAAAGCTATGGAGAACTACAGCCTTACTGAAAGAGATAATTAACTTTTTGAATACTTACTGGGTGCCAGATAGAACACTGAGTAGCTTCCCTGTGTCAACCACTTTATTTCTCCCAATCCTCCTGTGAGATAAGCTTGTCCCTATTTCACAGATAACACTGAGGGCTTAAGCCTTTAAGTCTCTAGATAGAATTTGATACCTAGTCCATTTAACTCCAAAGTCCATGCCTTTTGTACTCAGCAACCTTCTCAGAGAGCCCAGAATTTGGCAAAATAAATATTTAGATAAACTCTCCAGAAGCCTAAATAAGACAGCCTCTCATTTGCCTACTTATCTGATCAAGCATCTTCCCTGTCTTCTGTGTCACTTGTGGAAGAAGGATCAGAAACTATTTTATTAGGGACTTTGAAGGTTTCAAAAGCTATTTGGTTGTAACAACCAATCGCCAGAGTGCCCAGGTGCCACCCTGGCAAGGGCAATCCCTATGCCAAACACTCCTGCCTTTACAAAGCACTTCAAGCAAGGATCTCAAAGCACAATGTAATTAATAAAATCACCCACATCCTGTCTAGATGAGTAGCATTTTATATGTACAAATTCTCTCTGCCCCCGGGCCCTCCGAAAGAACATGAATGTTTCCAATTTTGAAGAATGAGCAATAGAGTAATTGAAAGGAGCTGTATTTTGGGCAGCTCCAAAGACCTCAAAGGCATTTATAGTGACCTATATGAGAAAACATGGTGACCACAGAGTGTGTCATCATGGCTTGTCAACCATACTGTGCTAATAACTAGTTCAAAGATAGAAAAGACAGGGTAAAAATAAAACATTCAGTTCTTACAAGTCAGACACCTCTGGGACTGATATTATGATCTGGCTTGGTCAAGTCTCCAAAGGCTCTAGAAGCAGTGAAAAGGTGACATTAGCTGATGATCCAGTTACTTGGCCTAATCAAGGCATACGGGACAGACGGGGCCAATTAAGTAGCAAGGCAGCCCAATGATAGATGAGACATTATAGGCAAGTGCAAAGATAATGCCATTGGGAAAAGCAATTTAAGTCATTTGTGCACTTCCAGGCCAGGAAATCCTTCCAGTCTTGAGGGGGAACATTTAGGAATCATCAGGCTCAGCCCGATGAAGTCATCTGTTCATTGTGCAACTAACAATCAACAAACGAACCAAACACACAAGGGGACCGGCCATATGGAATACATTTTGGTGGCTGGGATGTGTATCTGTGCCTTCATTTCTATCACCTTTATAACAAATCTTACCATAGCCTTCTTCTTTTTCCTCTGTCCACCTGTACTCCTGTGTTCCTTTCTCTAACCACTGTCTTTCAATGTATGGGTCATTTTTTTTAAATGAAGGCAAACATTTTCTTTCCCAATTCCTAGTTTTGTACACATAAAGGTTTTCAAGGGAGGCTTCAGCATGTTTCAGATCACTTTTCTAAAGGGTGATCTATGCAACAGAATTTATACAGATGGTCCTGCACCTTTTCAAATCCCTTATGTGTATGTTGCAAACCCAGAGTTGGAGGGTGGTATATATTGTTATTTTCTGAAGGAGGAGGGAAGGAAAATGAAAAGACCTAAGCATTATAAAGTTAACTACACTTGCAGCTTCCCACTTCTTTAAAACCAACTTCCCTCCACCACAGTGTAATGGTTCTCACTGAGCGCCATGTTGATAAATCCAATGAACTTTCTTCCATCTCCTGTATCTTCTTCCTCTCTGATTGCCCATTTTTTCTCCCTTTCTCTTCCCAACCATTCAATATTGGATTCTAACTGAACTTTCTAAAGTACAATTCCATATTTCTGGCCTCACCTTGCTTCACACTCAATCACATCGGGCTCAGTTCTGAACCACTCTGTTCTACAAAGCACAGCACCCATGCACACAGGTCCTCTACCTGGCATGGTCTTCTCTAACTTTTTTTCCTCTTAATACTTCCTCACCCATCCTGTTTTAGTTCACTCATCATTTATTGACTTCCTCATATTTGGTCCAATTTTCCTAATGTGAGCTCTCATAACACCACATAAATGCCCTTATCATGCTCCTCACACTTGCAGTTTTAGAGGCATTTGTGTAATTATTTTATTAATGTGTACCTTAGCTACTAGACTATAAGATTCTTCCTCTCTATATAGTATCTGTTGCAATTTTTATTAGTATATATTTGCAGTACATAATGTTTATATTCCTTGTGCGAAACTGGTACATGTATATAACACATATTAATTCCTTTTTTTTAATTCCTTGTCCCTCCCATCCATTACTTCTCCATCTCTTGATACCCTTCCCATTGAAAAGAGATTTATCGCCCTACTTCTTATTCTCTTTTATTTTGCTATTTGTTTATAATTTGGCTTTTTTGTATAAGAGAAAAACATGATATTTAAACTTGGGTGTCTGATTTATTTCACTTAACATTATGCTCTCAAGATGCATCCATTTTCCTACAAATGATTTAAGTTTATCTTTCTTTATGAGACAGTAGCACTCCATTGTGTGTAAATACCACATTTTCTTTTTCCATTCATCTATCAATGGACATATAGGCTGCAGGTTTAGCTATTATGAGTTGTGCTGCTATTATCATGTGTATGCTTGTAACACTGCAATATAATGTCCTTAACTCTTTTGGAAAGATACCTACCAGGGGAATAGATAGGTCAAATAGAATTTCTAGTTTTAGTTTTTTGAAGAATCTCCATACTGATTTCCATAGTGGTTGGACTAGTTTACATTCCCACCAACAATGTACAAGGGTTCCTTCCCCCTACAGCTTTACCAGCATTTGCTATTATTTGATTTCTTGGTGGTGACCATTCTTTCTGGGATAAGATGGAATCTCAGTGTTGTTTTGATTTTCATTTCTCTAAGGGCCAATGATGTTGAGCATTTCTTTATGTATTTATTAGCCATTTTTACTTCTGTGAAATATTTATTCATTCACTTACCCATCTTTTTGATTGAATCTTTTATTTTTGAGAATCTAACTTTTTTAATTCTATATATAACCTAAGATATTAGTCCTCTGGGGAATAGTTGGAAAAATTTTTTTCTCTTCATAGATTATCTTTCCACTGTATTGGTGGTTTTTTATTTGTTTGTTTGCTTGTTTGTTTGTTCACCATGAAGAAGCTTTTCAGTTTGCTCTGATTCCATTCGTTGGTTCTCATTACTATTTCCTATGCAACTGGGATTCTGTTCTGAAAAAAAAAAGACTCTAATAATCCCAGTGATGTTGTACCCCCATTGAACCAATATCAGCAGGATGGAGTATTCCAGCTGGCCAAGTCTGTGCCTCATGCTATCCTTATAGCAAAGAGAAAAGGTAGAACCAATCTTACCCAAATGTCTTGGTTCTCTGGAGGAAAAATACTGAACAGAAGAAGCCCACCACTCAACACCTTGCCAAGACACAATCTGGGACCTTTTCTAAGAAGGGACTAGATGGCCACAGTTGTGTTTACTGAAATTTTTTACTTTTTTCTATCTGAAGAGTTACAAACTATGACTCATGTCCAAACTATTTCTAGAGCAGGATCTCCATCCAGTGTGATGAATACCTGGCCAGTCACAAGGAAGGCCAGCTACAGACAACCAGTACTACTGTAGCAGCACATCCCCAATAAATAACATCCCTGTGTCAAACGCAAAAGTTGGGTCAACTTCTAGGGGACTTAAATCTTCAGCCTTACTCATTCTCATTGTGGAAACACCCTCTAATTCTGTCTGGTTAGTTCACCTGCCCACTTTGAAACAAGCCTGGAGTAGGCAGGGGTCATAAGAACATTTTCTGCTCTTTAATTCCCTTTGATGTCTCATGTGTGTGACCCCTGCATTAGGAATCACACTTGGGACAGGGGGTAGGCTTTTGGGCTGACGCACCAGACACCTTCATATGGACACACAGTAGTTTCCCCTTGTTTTGGGCCAACTCTGTATTTTTATGGCTGGGAAAAGCAGAGGTCTCATCTTCCATCCCCTTTCTAGTGTCTACGCTACCATAAAACACTCCTAGACTCAGCTGGGGTAATCTGTGTCCGGGTTTATGCTACTTCTTCAAATTCAGTTTGGATGAAGTGTCTTTTGATTAGAGACATGGATGAGGGTTAATTTAAGGAGCCAGCTCATTTTGGCTAAGAACTGTGTATCAACAACTGGTGTGATGTGAGGTGTGTGTATGTGTGTGAATACGCATGGTGCGTATGTCCTTCTTATCGCACCCTCTTCTCCCAAATTGATGTGTTTAAGGCACTTACCACAGACTATCCATAGTAGGTACCAGCCCTGCCTCCAAGTGCCCCAATAATCCAGCTGACTCTTGTTGCTTGCAGTACCTGATAGCACTCCTGCTCCACCCCATCTTCCAGGTATGGGAGACCTATTCCCCAGGAGACATAGCCCTGCTCTATTTCACTCCCTTCCCAGCTACTCCGGAAGCTTATAGAACGACTTAGAGATGCTTGCCAACTGAACCTGACCTTTGCTTCCCTCACCCCATGGAACTGGATTTCTTGCTTGTCTCATTTCAGGGTTGCAGAGAATACAACAGCTTGCAAAAAACACAAAATACTTCAGACACAAACTGAAGAAAATGGGATTCATTATCTACGGCAATGATGACTCTCCTGTTGTTCCCATGCTCCTTTACCACCCTTGCAAAGTAGCGTAAGTATTCAGAGATTTGCAGAATCATGCCTAAAGCCCAAGCAACCTACAGTGATGCTTTCAGCACAGCCTAGCTTTCCTGTACAGACATTAGGTCATGTATTTGAAAGGGGTGCTTAGGTTCACAACTCACTAGTACAGCTCCTCAGTAGCCCCTGCCTGTCATCAGCAGGACTTTTGCCGCATGTCATAGATAAAAGGAACTGGGCTCAAAGGCCCACTTCTCTCCCTGACACAATTTTCAAGCTCAGAAAATGTGGTGAAATCACTTATGTCAGCTATATATTAAAGATGATCCTGAACCTTCCTCTGGCTGAACACCTTTCTCAGAAAGAACTCTTTTTTTTTTATTTTAAAGGGAGTAGTAAATGCGAAACAGACAAACAAAGAAATAGAACAGTAGCAGCATACCAGTATCACAAACATAAGCAAATCAAAGCAAGAACATTCAAAGTGATACAGAGTCTCAAAACAAAATAATATGAATCAACAGTGGTTGTTACATTACATATCGCTATCCTCAACTACATTGCTTAGATTACCAGATGTAAGAATGAAAGATTGCTCAAACCATTATAGGGAATAAGAAAATAATTCTTCAATAAAACAGTAGAGGTAACACGGAATTTCACCAGACAAGATGGTAGGAGTTCACCATTGTAATTCTAATTGAGTATTACTCAGCTATTAAAAAAGATAATCAGAAAGAACTCTTTAAAACCATCTCTCCCAAAACTACCATTAAAACAAGCAGAATTAGAACTCTCTCCCTTTGACTTTTATGGTTGTCCTCAAAAGAGGCAGCCTCATTTTATGTGTGGGGAAGCTGAGGCTGAGGGTAATTGAACAACTTTCCAACAGTCATGCAAATCGAACAATAGTAAAAAATCAAAGAAACAACCTCCCCCCCAAACCTAGGCTCACTCCAAAGCTCATTCTCTTAGTGCCAAATTTTAATGCCACTGGCATAAGCCTATTTTGTACTGTTTTCCAGTAATTGAAACTTTGAAATTGAGCATTAGCAACAATTATATAGAGGGCTAGGCGTGGTGTAATCCCAGCACTCTCAGGAGGTTAAGACAGGAGGATCGCTGTGAGATTGAGGCCAGGCTGGGCTATATAGGGAGTTAAAGGCCAGTCTGAACTACATAGTGAGATCCTATCTCAACAAAACAAAACAATAATAAAATTGTATAGAAGAAAAAATGACTTTTTCTTGCTATAGCACAATTTTATACAGGAACAACTCTCTAACCTATGAAAGACTAATCACCTCTGTTATTAGAAGAAAGTTAACTAAACCTCTTTCCAAATGTACAATGTTTATTGATTTCTCTGACCAAAGACAATGTGGAAAGTAATATTCAAAATAATATTTCTCGAGTTCTAGAGATCCTAACTCCCCTCTGATATAACTCCATTCTCTTTGACCCTATCATAGTCTGAACTGACTCGTAATATTTGCAATACAGAAAAATTCCAAAAAAAGAGGTTTTGGGGTCTAGGGGGTTAGAATTTATGGAGAGTAAGCCTGGGTTATAAGTCATTAAAAGACTGAGTGTTTGAAATATCACCCTATGACATTCCACCACAGCAAAATAAGAAGCTGTAAAACACATACATGAGTTCTTAGCCTGCCAACACCACTACCACATGGCCCCTAAAGATGTCCCCTGATGGAGAATCCTAGGAGATAGAGTGCTATGGAGATCGCACACACAATATCATCCTATACTAAAGGGAGAGGAGTGATTTCCAAGCAGCAGATAACACAAATCCCTCTCCCATCTGATTTTGGAAGACACAAAGGAATACCTATATTTATTCAAAATGGCTGGGAAGGTGATATGTTTGGGAAGGAAGATTCCAAATTTAGCTCATATCTACCTAATATTTTAACATTAGCTCAAACAAGGCACCCAAAATAAATTTATTCAGGTATCCAGTGCACATTACTGGAGCAGAGCAAGGAAAAAACATTGTGGAGAGTTCTGGCTTTGATGATGGAAGCCAGAATTAGAAATTCAAAAGTTGGAAAAATGAGACAACTCAATGAAAAGAGTGCATGATTAGTAAAAACAAATGCATTTTTACCAGTTATTTTTATTTTTAACTGATACATAAGAATATGAAAATTGTACATATTAGTGGGCTACCATGTGATGTTTCAATATCTGTATGTTGTGTAATGTTTAAATCAGGTAAAACATCACTATCCCCATAAAGAGTTATGATCTCCTTAAAACATTCAAAAGTCTTTCTTCCAGCCTCTTGAGAACTACATAAAATAATTGTTATCCATAGTCACTATACTATGCTATAGCATTCCAGGACTCCAGATGCATTTCAATTCAAAGATTCACTGATACAATATGTGTCATGTAAAAGTTATGCTCTAAGCTGTAGTGAGAAATTTGGAATCAAAAGGAATTTTGACTCAGCCTCTTCCTAGCTGGGTAATCTTGGACAAGTGACCAACATTTGAAAGCCCCTGATTTTCATGTGTAAAATGAGTTATAATAGTGCCTACTTCCTATGATCACTGCAAAGATAAGGTCTCTATAGCATTTGATATGTTGCCTCTTATATAAGTGCTACTCAGGGTTAGCTTTTGTTCGTAATATTAATAGTGTGTACAAAGCATTTATTACTTGTCGTAGTGATAGACATTAGTAGTAGCACTACTATTACTCCACTATGAAAATTACTGTTATTAGTTTCAACTGAGTACCAGTTTGAGTCAGCATAATTGTGTGGCTCTCCAGATAATTATTGAAATCTTTGGTTACATTAATAAAAAGAGAACTCTCAGAAAAGTAGTAGCTAAAGAGCCTGCTACATTCTGAACCAATTATGTAATATTGGTACTAGATGATATGTTGAACTGTCTTGTTCTGTCTAATTTAAGATTGTTTTTCAAGAGATGCTGTTCTAGTTACTTTTCTCATTGCTGAGACAAAATACCCAAAACCCAAAATTAAAGGAGGAGAGGTTTATTTCAGCTCACAGTTTGTAAGACTTTCAGTTCATAATCAGCGGGCTCCAAGGCAGGATGACATATAGCAGAGGAGCGTCCCAGAGGAGGCAGAAGGCAGCAAAATAGCAAGCAACAAGCAATGGCAGCAGCCCCCTTTCTGCCCCTTACATTCCATTCACTCCCTGGGCACTCAGTGCTCAGAGTTGGCTCTCCCACTATCCACACCCAGAACTATGACAAATCTATCAGTGTACTAATTTAGTAGTCACACCCCCTTAATCTCAGCATCACACAGCTAATCCACTGAGATCACACATCCTAGATCCAGCCACCTGTGATTGCATGAGGCTTTAGAGGGACATCTAGACACATGCCATAACAGATGCTAACATTGATGAATTCTGATTGCATGCTACATAAGGCTGCTGAACCCCAGTGACCACTCACTATGGTTGGGATGTTTATCCCTACTTTATAAATGCGGATAATGAGACTTACAAAGGTCAAATTACTTTCTAAGGCTCACATATGTTGTAGGAGAAATGCTCAGAATTCAGTCATTTCTCTTTTTCTCCTATACGTGAGCTCTTTTGAACATACAACATAGCCTTTTAAGCTTCAGTCGCGGGCGCGGGAGATATGCCCATCTCATTAAAACTACATACTTAATTCAACTTTCTTGCATGTCATCTTTTGCGATTCAAAAACATCAGTTACTATGACAGAAAAATTTCTAACTGAATGGCCTAAGGAAGCAATAGGTTAGCTAGAAAAGGTAATAGCATCCACCACTGGCAGAAGTTGCTGGCAGTAGCTGGCTCCACTGTCTGGTTTTACTTCCTTAAGCAAGTACAGAAATACTTCTTTCACTCGAACACATAAAAATTTTGATATTACTTAAAAGTTGTGTTTCTCTACATTCTTACCTGTGTAGAATGAAAAGCCCAGTATCCCTTTCAACACAGTGCTTTTACAACACTACTGCTAGAATTGTCTATGGAGAGTCTAGTAGAAGGTGACTGTACCCATAAAATGTGCACTTAAACAATCAAGAATGGCCAGGCATGGGGGCACATGTGGGCAATCACAGCACTTGGAAGGCTGAGGCAGGAGGATCACTGAGGGTTCAGGACCAGCCTGGGCTATATAGTGAGTTCAAGGCTAGCCTAAATTACATAGCAAGATCCTGTATCAACCCTCCAAAATAATCAAGGCTGTATTATATTTAGTGTATGGTACAGGGTTTATATTTTCCTTTAGTGGCCCTTATCATACACTTGGAAGAGATAATGATTCTACATGCAGTTCTAGAATAATGTTCATCATTGTCATCATCGTCATCATCATCATCTCACTTTGTTTAATGTCTTCCAGGCCATGGCAGCTCTAACTTGCTTTACAGGGTACAAACCTAAAATATTCAGTGCAATCATATACATTAGCTTAAGGCTGCTAGCAGCGGGAGTATACATTTGAAATTCAAAAGTGGTCCAGGGAGGCCCAGATTAACCTAATGAATCAACAGTTATGTACTTTGTTCTACATTCTTTGGCAAAACTCACTTCCTCTGGTACAAAGGGACACGCAGACAGTGAAAACCGTCTGCTTGAAACCCTGAGCAGTGGCCTGAGATCATGGGTCCAGTGGTTTGCACTTCAGCAATAAAAGCACTTGACTTGTTTCTCAGACAATTATGAACTCTCATCCTGTGCAGTGTTGTGGGCAGCCTTCCATAGGGTGATCAAGAAGAAGAAAGAACAGCATCTGTTTTCAAGTTTTCTCAGCTAGAAAGCTTTGTCGCCTATACCCTCCCCAGTCGAAATCAAAGGGCAAATCCCGCCTTGTCCTAGCCAGGGGGCCAGACAAGCTGTGTGTTCAGTAGGTCTTGCTGCCTCTGCAGCTTCACTTGATAACCTGCATCCTGCACAAGGTGATCTAAGGCCGTCCACTGGACAGCAGGGTGGATGAATGGACGGGCAGGCTCACTGGCCATGTCTGATTCAAGAATTCTTCTGAGTTACAACTGGAAGGCTTCTGTGGCGCTGTCAGCTTCCAGCCTAAAATAATACACCAGCAACCTCTTAATGCTAAGAACAGATCTAAGGCATTTACTTCACTTGTGGGTACAGCCACTCTGTAATTAAGGTTTCCTGCAGAGAGCAACAGAGCCCAAAGGGGGAAAAGACTCACTTGGAGGTACGTGCCTTTTTATCTGACCTTGGCTTGCAACACAAGCAATTTACAGACTTGGAGCTGAATATTCTAGAATGGTTTCTGAAATTAGCTTCGGAAAAGAAGAAAGCTAGAAGGATAAAGGGAAGGAATGATAGCTCACAAAGGTTTTGCTCCACATCAAAGAGCTTTGTAGTCATCTGACTTACATCCTATCAGCTGCGTCGACCCCTTGAGATTCTCTGCAGATGCACAGTTCTTTCTCTGCCCCCCTCCTGCCCGATTCCCCTTGAAGCAAGTCAGTGGGCTTTTACCCTTGTGTATATTTTGGTATGTTCCTTCACATGTTAAAAAAGGAGGAGATCCTATTTCTTATATTTGATCTAAAATACGTACTTTGATCCTAAAGTGGGAATATTGCCTTGGGATTGGATCATACAGACGCTCAGATCCTACTCTTCAAATTACAGTAACTAAGTATGACTTCTTGAAATGTCCATGGTACTCTATTGATATGAAGTTCTTAAAACATTTCCATTTAATATATAAATATTGCATTAAGATTTGCATTTACTATATAAATGCTTTGTTATGTAGCTCTAGTCTATCAGCTGGTTTCTTTTTATTCCTAGGGACCCTGCAGATGAAAGATTTTGTATCAATGCATATTTGTTAAACCAGAGTCACTCACGCCATCACTTTCTGTTCAGTGTCAAAAATATGGTCCCCACAGTCATCTAATGATCGTGTCAGGCCCATAGTACAACATATTCACTTATGGGGGACGTTTCTTTGCCAACTCTGATGACAGAGGTTAATAGCTTTAATCATCCTCTGCTTATCATAAAAAAGAAAAAGTTAATTATCCATATTCTTTTGCAGGGGGAGGGGGAGGATAATTCTGTCTTGTGTCAGTTAACTTTTCTTTCCTCTTCCTCAGGGCTTTTGCAAGGCATATGTTAGAGAAAAAAATTGGTGTGGTGGTCGTTGGATTTCCAGCCACTACACTTGCAGAAGCTCGGGCTCGGTTCTGTTTGTCAGCAACACATACTCAGCAGATGCTAGACACGGTGAGTATCCCACAACCCCACAGGACCTCTTGGTTTGGTACCTTGGATTCAGAGCAAGAGCTTTCATAGAGCCAGCTTGGGGTTTTCTGGGTTTCTCAGGTGGTTAAGGAAAACAACACTAATGACAAGTAAAACTCACTGCTAAAACCTAGGTTGTGTCAGCAATACTCACAGGGTAATCCACTCAGTGGACAGACATAAAAAACACTTTAGTGTAGACTTTCACCTGGTCAGTATTTTGGTTTCATAGGATTGACTGCGTAGCCAAATGTGCTGTTTACTTGTTCTGAAATGCAAGAGCTGATCGCACATGTTAGTTTAGCATCACCTGCCTATGTCCTGATATTTTTCATAACCATGAAATCTTTCATAATAAAATATGACCCAACAAAGCAGTGGAAAACCAACAAGATCAGACCTATAACCTACCAGCCTAAGTGAGTTACTGTAGTTTAGGAAACTGAGGAATCCTTAAGCCAAAGGCAGAAATAAGTGAGGTTGAGCAGGTCATGAACAGACTCCTGTGGAGAACCCAGGGTACAGGAATCACAGGTGGGAGCTACATAGACTTAGGCTAGAGCCATCTGAAAAGATGTGGACTAGTACAGTGTTATGCACATTAAACAGGAGAGCATTTCAAGGAGGAGGAACAAAATGTTCCCCCAAATTAGAGTATGGAAGAGACAAGAAGAAACTATTGGGTTGACAATTAGTGAGAGCTCAATGCTCGTTAGAGTGGGCCTTTTTAGGGTAATGCAGGGAAAGGGATAAGAATAAAAAGAATGAGAGAGAGGAGAAAGACAACCCATCTCTTCTTCACCTATACAGCTTCAGGACCAGCTGATAGTACATGGTAGGTACCATTAAAAATATGCTGAGTGACACATTAACCACGGGGCTACCTGGAGGTCTTGAGGTGATAGTGAATTCTGCTGTTGTTCTTTATACTTGCTGTATTTTCCAGATTCTTTAAAATGAGTCTATATTTCCCATACATTAATGTTCACAAATAGCTTCTTTTAAATAGAGTGAACTGGTGATAAGAAAGAGTAGGCAAGTCTTCCAAGAAGTCAGAAAAATTAGGTTTAGAAGAGCCTTTGGAAACAGGGAAAGACCTGTCCATGTTTACATGTTAAGGGAAGAGGACCGTGAAGAGGGGTCCTTACAGGCATGGAAGAGGAGGGGACCTGGGCAGAGATCAAGCTTTGGAGCTGACAGGATCAGGTGGGCAGCAGAGAAGGATATGTAGTTTCTGTGGTGTGTACAGAATGAGGTACTCAAGCATACTCAGTTCTGTAGATATCAGGCCTGTGATTCTCCTCACAGGTTCTTAGTTGCTATGGAATACATGGTTGAAAAAGCAGTGAGACTTTGTCTAAGCAGAGGCCTCTTAACTTCTGAAAGCATGCATCTGTCTTGATGTTTAAAAGTTGAGTGGTGCCTTAATTGAGAAAGTGAAATTTGAATGGCCCAGTCATTAAAGTAGCGACCAAATATAAATGCTCACAGGATATAGGCAATAGCAGACAACTGTAGTGGAAGGCTGCGTTAGAAACAACTGTAACAGACATAGGTGGGATTACCATCTCCCTTTCCTCACTGATGGCTGCTCCTCCACCGAGGACAACTCTAACTTCTCCTCCATCCTTCGATCTCCCAGAAAAAAAGGTCTAAGTACATAGGCAGTCAGTAAACCATTGTCACCTTTGGACAGCCTGAACTGTTCTCCACTTCCTTAGTATCCCCAGCCCAACCAATGCAATAAGAATCCCCTCCCAAATTCCTGTCACTAAGATGCCCATGGCTCTGGGATCGACTCTTCCATCCATCAGTTTATGTAAACTATTTAGAAATGGTATGTGCCTTACATATATGCATTGTATAACAGACATAAAAATAAAAGTTAAAGTGACATTGATTAAGTTATGTGTGGTGATATGTGACTCTAATCCTAGCATTCTGGGAGGCTGAAGCAGGAGGATGGCAAATTCAAATCCAGCCTGGGCAATTTAGCAATACCTTATCTCTAAATTTAAAAATGAAAAGGGCTAGAGGTGTAGCTCAATATGAAGACCCTAGGTTCAGTCTTTACTACTGAGAAAAAATAAATACAAATTCTAATATTTCCCACCAGGATTTCACATATGTCCCCTAAGTGCTCAAGTAGTCCTTTTTGGAAACCACTGAATATTTCATCTCCCGCCTTAAGCAAAGATCAGTAGAAATACTCCAGGTAGATAACATGTAAAACATAACTTCTGTTACTTTTTCTTAGTACACAGATTTGATGTGGGAAATTAAAAAATAAAAGAATATTTTCAGGGTCCATAACCCTACCATCAAGAAACAAACTTTTCTTAGCACATTGGTAGATATTTTAATTGATAGCACTTTGAAGGACTTTCTAATCAGGAAGCCTCATTAACCATTCATATTAATGTTGTCAACCCTTACCCTGCCTTCTTCAGAGCATTGGTTCCTCATACTATCCTTTTCCTCATTTGACCAGTTAAGAAAACAGACTCAAAGATTAAAAAGAGGCAAAGATTAAAAATTGCATAGGATTAGTATCAATGCCAGAGGATATACTAGAAGGAAAAATGACATCTTCTTAACTTTCTGGATCTCTGTTGTTTCAACTTTTCATTGCAAAGTTGATGGTACATTTACCACTTAAGGTAAGAGAACTCGAACAGGTGCAGTCTTGGTCCCTTGTGATTTTAAATTCTATTATTATGTGGAATGTAGAGATGCCTACTTTAAAATGGGGGGTAACGCATGACACAGTTGAGAATGATGCTAATTAGCCGCACGATGCTCCATTGTGCTCTTGGCTAGGCTGGTTTACTTTGTCATGAAGACATAACCTCAAATATATTCTACAACCTTATGTTTCTTCCACAAGGTAATATGTAAGTCACTAAATTTACAATACATTCTTTCTTTTTTTTTTTCTTGTTTTGTTTTTTTTTTTTTTTTTTTTTTTTTTTTTTTTTTTCCAGTACCGGGAATTGAACTCACGACCTTGCGCTTGCTAGGCAGGCGCTGTGCCACTGAGCTAAACCCAGAGCCCCTACAATACATTCTTAAAGGTCTTCAATAGGCCAGATGTTTTTATTCCTCCCTTCACAATCCCCTCCCCCCAAAATAAACATTCATAATGTGAAGTTAGACCATTAAATAAAATGAATTAGCATCTAACATGCCTCTAGGCCTCATCAACCATGACCTAATGACATGGATCTTGCTTCTTTTCTTTAAAATCAAAGATGCTGGCAAAATGAGGCTGTGGGTCTTTGTGAAGCTTGTCATTTTCCTGGGGTTGGCAAAGCAGGCCCACTTAGGGGCTTAAAGATAACTGACGGAAGGCAATCTCCTTGCAGGTTTTGGAAGCCATTAATGAATTGGGTGATCTCCTGGCTTTGAAATATTCCCGGCAAAGGAAGTCATAACTCCCTGTACTCTATGATGAAACCAGCTTTGAACTTGACGAGTAAGTTTCCTGGTCCCGAATGAAACGTGAAGACTTTGCCAGAGAGACCTCCCTCCTCACCTCAGAAGGAATATAGCTGGAATTCTCCCCCTTTCTAGGGACAACTTGTTTTCCAGGCCTGCTTAATTGAACTGAGGGAGGCTGTTGTGTTTTTCGTATCTATAACTTGCAACTTCAGAAACAAAGTTACAGTTCTAGGTTTGAGTTTCTACCCTCCTAAGTATCTGCTACAAATGCATACACACACACACACACACACACACACACACACACATTTCTCAGAATGTTTTTGATGGCAATGAGCCTGTTTTAGCTGCTACCTGCAGCCTCGCTGATCCAGACCCTTTCAGGGGTTCCAGCCAAATGTGAGAATTTTGATTGTGACACTAATCGCACTGTGTTTACTTATTTGATCGGCAGACATGGATGAGGGTAGTGGTGAGTAGCTGATTTCCTTGTCACACCTAAAAACGTACCAGCTACAGTTTATCGGCATCACAGGAAGTTCCAAGCAGAAGGGTAAAGAAATGTTGCTTCTACCATTTGCCACCTTTGGACTTTTTCCAAGCACAAGTGTGAAAAGAGACAGGTAATGTTTCGAGGGAGAAAGCAGAACTGGCCAGCAGTGAGCAGAGAAGGAAACTTTCCTTTTCCTCTTGCTGTTCTCCAACAGTTTTACAGCTGAGCCTTTGAGGTTTGGAAAATCCAAGCTCTTGTTTCATGAAGAAGGAGGCAGAGAGAAAGCGCACGCCAATTTCAGGCTTAGACTAAATCTGTAAAATTATAACTTGAACACTGTAGGTGCCATGCAGGGTGAATGTTTAGTATGCATGGCTTTCATGACTTTAAGGAAAGAATTGCCTACTGAATTCTGAGTAAATGATGAAGCTCGATTTCCTTTAGAATCGACTCCCAAGGGTACACTTGAAGAATGTACTGATTCTAGAAGGACATTTATAAACAATTCTCTCTGTCTCTTTCAAGGCTGCCGTGGTTATTCAGGTACATTAAATAATACTGTCACTTTGGCATATATTTTCAGATTTGTGCAAAACAGGCTCACATACTTTTGGGCAACTTTAATTTATATGCTCTTTCCCTCTTCCTCTCTCTCTTTCTGTCTCTTTCTGTCTCTCTCTGTGTCTGTCTGTCTCTCTCTCTCTCTCTCTCTCTCATACACACACAGACACACACACACATGAAAACAAACCTCTGAAAAATTAGTCCTCTGCTAATTGGATCTAGTTGGTATGGAAAAAGCCAGTGGAAACCCTTATCTTTAACAAGCTCCCAGATGGTGCCCAGATTTGGAAACTCTAAAGAGCAGTGGTGACCTTTTAGCCAAGCTTCTGTAACAGTTCGAATGAGTTACAGAACATTCCACTCCATCAAATGACACTGTAAACAAATCACTTCAAGAGAGGTTTGGCTTTGTGTGACACAGATGGGCCCTAGCTTTCATGCTGTGCACTGAGATAGAAACTCAACCCTCACGCCAGTGTCGATGGAGCAACACGCCCTGGTGCTCAGGGCTCATCCAAGGAAAAAGCTCAAAAAGCTTTTCATAAATCACAACCCTTTGTGGGTACAGTCAGTTTAAAGGTGAATCCCAGTGATAAAGTTCCTTAGGAGTAATTAAAAACTAAAGGTATACAATTGGCACAGGAGGAAAAGAAACGGGTTCTGAAGATACCAACTCTCCTCAACTAGAGCAGCCTCACTGGTGCAAAGATAGCAAATGCCATATAAATGTGCAGGAAAAAGGAAGTACATAGGTCTTTTCTCTTTAATATACGCACTTAGATGAAATTGTTACTGGCTGATTGTCGAGAATGTATTAATATCTGTTCTGTAAAGGAAACAGAATGTAAAGAGGGCAGTGAGACATATGAGCCTTCCTCAAGACAGAGCAAGCAATAAACACCTCCCATCTTTTCTAGATTTGATGTGATCTTCACATACACACACACACACACACACACACTGAATTTTAAGCCACTAGATGGGCAAGTGCCTTCCTGAGCAGGAATGTCTACCCTTCTACTTCCATGCAGGAACTTAAATTGAATCTAATTCATCATGGGGAGCAAATCACTTATCTACCTGCCATGTGGAGCAAGAAGGAGCTTAGTCCTTTTCCATCAAGATCCAAGATCCTTGGGGAAATAGTTTCTATTCTTGTGTACCAGAGGAGAGACCTATTTCTGTGAGAGAGTCTGCATTGAAGATACCCAATGTGTGAGAACAGCTATGGTCCAAGTGGAATGCCTCCCAGGTACATTAGGAGAGACCTTACATCAGAAGAGCATATGGCATGTAGAATGAACTTGCTTAATAGGGCAATGTGAAGAATGAGAATATTTTTATTTTTACAAATAAAAGTCCCCTGCTGGATTTATAAGACCATGACTTCAACTCAATAGGGATACAGTCTTAATATCACAGCTTAGTCTTTTAGTAAAGAGACTTTTTCTACCAGAAATACAACATTATATATTCCCAACCCAACTAAACACACATACACACACACACACACACACACACACACACACACACACACACACTATTCTTTACAGAGGAAGTAGGTAAAGATTAGAAATAATCTAATTGGATAGAGACAGATGGAAGATGTTCTAGAAAGCAGGCTTCAGGGGAAAAAAAATAAAAGTTCTGATTGGCATTTGTAAGGATGATACATCTGCATATGAAGAAAATGGCATAGACTCACTCCTAGTCTTCATTTGGAATGAAGGTGTCACGGATGTTTAGCTATATTGCTTTTCAACATGTTTTGGTTTGACTAAGACTACAAGCTTCAGAATTTACTAGGAACCTTGTTAATATGCAGATCTCTGGGTCCCATATCACACCTCCATTCAAGCCATGATGGTGCCGAGCAAACTACAATTTAACAAGCTTTCTCAGGTGATTCTAATGCATGCCAGCATTTGAGAATCATTATTGGAGCTCTTGGTAGAGCCATTGACTCTCGATTTTCTGCTGACATTTTAGGGTGCTAATACTGGCAAAGTGAAGTGAATTCATCCCATGGCCATCCTTCCTTCTTCAGTGGGATATTTCCTTCCCATATTCTTCAACTGCTCTTTCTGCAAGAATGGATCAACCCAATATTGAAGAATAATCTGCTATACACTTGATCAAAATTCCTTCTCCAATTCTCACCTACATCATTCCTTATGAGATGTCTCTTTTACTTTGTTACACATTGTGCCTTTCAATATGATGCCTTTTTTCTCTTCCTACTTTTAGAAAAAAACTTCAACCTCTGATTATTTATTTATTCCAGCAATAGCTCCTCAGTAGGGTGAAATTCTTAGCAGTTCTTCAGACATGCAGTGTTGCTTTGTATTTTCTTCAGAAGCAGCGAATATATATAAATGACTTACTCTAGTTAAAAAAATCTAAGTTCAGATGATGAAACCTAGATTCAAACATGTACTGTGATTTATAGCAATAATAATTTTAATAAAAACAATGGTAACATCATCTCATGAATTCTTTAAATAGTTTCCTTGTTTGAAACAGTAAGAACAACACAGTTGATGTCTATTCTCTCAGAATGCTCTTCTCAGCTGTGCAGTGTCTAAGAAACTTGAAGATTGCACTGTACCTTAATGTTTCTGGGCAATTATTGTGGAACGGAATCTTATGGCATTGTTAGGTAGAGTGTGTGGTATCCGAGTATGTGTGGCTGATGTGAATACTTCACTGAAATATTTGAGATGCAAATTTTACTTTATTGTCCCTGAGGAGTGTTCATTTCTTTAAGAAACAAATCACCCAAACTGACAGTATAAAAAAAAAAAAAATAGTCTGGAGTTTTGTGTTGATCTGGGTTAGATTACACTGGGGTGGGGGGGGGAGACTGAGATGAAAATTTGCATTTAAGAATTTCACTTGAGAAAATGAGTAGGATTGGCTAAGGCTGGCTTACACTTTCATGAGAATCAATTATGCACACATCTCTTTCCACCTCATTCAGTGACATTGCATTGGTGCCTTGAAATTGGCTACAGTGGGAGTATTTGCACCATAGAAATTGGCAAACTCCACAGATCAGAGATCTAGAGATGTAGCTGTTAAAAATTTACCAGCATGCCGTTGAAGCTGCACACAGTGGTACAATACCTAGGCCTCGTCAGTTCCCTGAGGAACCGTATGACTATACGGGTCTTTTGGATTATCTCACATTGAGGAGAGGAACCCAGACCATCACCAACCACACACGGATGAAGGATCCCAGTTAGAGGCTGGGAAATCACTGAAGCAGGACAGCTCTGGTCCACTCTAGACAATTCCTGATGAGAGACAGCTATAATCAGTTACTTAAGAATTTATTTCCAAAACATCCACTTAAAAATTTATAATGGAAAAATTTAAATGTACAGTAAAACAGAGAGGATAATATAATAAACTTACCACCAGTTTCAAAGATTATCAATTCATGGCCAGGCTTTTCATTGAGTACCTCATCCACCTCACTCCCTCTCCCACCAGACACCTTTAAAGTGAACCCCAGAAATAATCTCATTTTATGAGTAAATATTTCACCAAGTTCTAAGAGATAGGAATGTCTTCATTTGTTCCTCCTCTCAACCTCATTAAAATATGTCTTCAGAAAGAACTCAAAATGAATCAAAAGTAAACCTTTACTTTCTTTATGTTACAACCTGTATGTGGATTCCCTGGCTCAAAACTAGGATTTATTTCTAAAGTATGTGGTGTGTTGAAAGATAAGAATGCAATCATTTTTAGACACAAACCATGTGCCAGACACTGCACTAAAAACTCCAACATACACTATCTTCTTGGTACTGTCATAGAGACTAATAATGGATTTCTTGGAAGGCAAGAGTATTTGAGTTGTAAAAGGATTAGCAGAGTATAAAGAGGACTTCTAACACTCTGACGGTACATTGTTCTTTCCTGGAATGCTTATCCTCTTCCTTATCAAATCAAAAGCTTTCTTAAAAGGTTATTTCAGCTAAACTTTATATACCAGTAGGAGTAATTCAATCAAGAACAAGAGAACAAGTCAAACCAGTTTCCATGTTTGGAAAAGGTTGCTGCCTATACCAGTTAGGGTTTAAAGTAGGACTTGTTATTCTAATTCTTCTTGCATCCCTTCATCCAAAGGAGAGGCTGAAATGCGACATTTGCATGTCAACTGCTCTGAGAACTTATCACAGACACGAATCAATAAAATATCCAACAACAGAAGGTTAGAATAGAAGCAAAAAGCAAAAGAGAGATTTTTTTTTTTTCCTGTAGCATGAAACAGTGCTCCCTTTTATTCAGGCCAGATGCTAATTTTTATATCAAAAATATTGATTGAAGGGACTAGTGATTTTGGCTCTCACTCAAGTTTATTCAGGATCTTTCTTAATTAGGTTTGGGTCGGCTGCAGTGCCCATGGCCAAGGGTAGGTCTGGCTCTAATCACCACATCATGCCGTCTACTTCATCCTGGGCCAAGGACTAAGGCCAGGAAATTGCAGCTTCTTTGTTTCCCCAGCCCGTAAGTTTGTTTTTTTCCACATTCGAAGCATGCATGGAGCAAACGTGTAAGGAAGACCAAAAGAAATGTAATGGCTTCGCTATGATGAGATCAATCTACCCTACAACTTGACTGTGATCCCCAGCATGAATAAAGCTCTGTGTGTGAAAAATGAATGGGTAGCAATGTGAGGTCACGGAAAAAAGATCTTGGCATCTTTTAAATGAAAACTTTTCAACAGGCTAATGCAGTCAATCAGTCTATGAGATTTTTTTAAAGGGTAAAATAATCTCTTTTGCAACAATACATGATTTCCCCATAGGGTGTCTATTTTGTAAATAATTGCAGTTGTCATTCAACTATTTTTATAGTGTCTACACCAATTTCATATAATTTGTACAAATCCTTTAAAAACTTCACACACAAAAAACTTCAAGAAGTCGTAGTCACAAATTAGACACCTAAAACAAAATGGGTTTTCCATTATATATTAAATAGTAGGTTGTTAAAACATATATATGATTCAGTTCTCCTAAAACATTTCCAACAAATAGCTACAAAGAGTTTTTAACTCTAAAATATTTCTCAGTTAAAACTTCAAAGTATGATTTGTAAGAAATTTTATTAACAAGACAACCCTAAATGGAGCCAATTTAAAAAGATTTCCTACATAGACGATCCTGTAACACCTATGTATAATCAATGTTATAGCAGATTATATAGAAAAGTTAAAATGTTTTATTAAAGTGGGCTGTACCTAGCAAAAAGGAAAAGTCCTTTGAAAATTACATTGATTTTTATTATACATTTATTATTTATAAAACCAAGCAGAAAAAATTGAGTTATTGCCATTACTCATCATAGCTCTTCAATGTGAATAAGAAGACCATAGATCATAAGATATTTAAGAGGGGTGGGGATTTAGCTCAGTGGCATAGCACTTGCTTGGCAAGCACAAGGTCGTGAGTTCGACTCCTGGTACCGGAAAAAAAAAAAAAAGAAGATATTTAAGGAGGGCCAGGGACATAGCTCAGTGGCACAAGTGCCTGCCTGGCAAGTGCAAGGTCCTGAGTTTGATTCCCAGTACAAAAAAAAAAAAAATTAAGGAAAAGAGAAACACCAAAATGAGTGGCCAAGATGAAAAAAAAAAAAGAAAGAAAATTTTCATAAGGACAAATTCATGGGAAAGAGAACTTTTGAAATGTTCTAATTATGAATCTTGCTGTAGGTCACTCTGGTTATAGTATGTCAAGGTATCATATCCACAAAACAAGAACAGGCTGATACAAAAAGACACCTAGATTTCACAAAAAAATTGAGAATGTAAATTAAAACATTTGGTGAAAATACATTGATAGAAAGCAAATAAATATATTTTTCAATCCCAAATGCAAAAGGACAAAAAATTAAAAACATGACAGAAAATTTAAAAGATATAGATGGTCCATACAGAAAGACCTATTTATCCATTTAATAGAAAGTTGACAAAGAACGAGAAATTTTTAAGACAGAAGAAAAATCAGGGAAATAATAAAAGAATCATTTCCTTGGGGCTGAAACAAAAAACAAAAAACAAACAAAAAAAAAAAGATGAAGATGGGCTGGTAAGGGCTAAGATGATGAATAAAAAAGTTTTCCCCTAAACACTTCCTAAGGAAATTTTACCACACCAAGGATGTACAGAAGAATCTAAAAGTTTCCAGCTCAACAAAAAATAATCTTACCTTTTTTTTGGTATCGGGAATGGAACTTGCAACCTCGTGCTTGCTAGGCAGGTGCTGTGCTGCTGAGCTATATCCCCAGCCCCAACAATCTTACTTTAAAAAGTAAAAGTAACTATCTTAAAGTGTACAGTATTATAAATAACATGTTCTCCAGAAAATTCATACCAATATTCTCATTCATTAACATTGGATAAAATGTTTCATTTCCTCCCGCTGCACCTTTGGTAAACATAATCATTTCTATATAATCTTTCTCAATCTTGTACAGGAGAACAGGTTCTCCTTAATGTCAGGTGGTCATTTACTAGTAACAAAATTTTTCATGTGTGCATTGGCTGCTTGTTTTGTGTTTTGCACATTTCTGATTTGTAACTGCTGGCACTTTTTCTACTTGAAATGCTTCATCAGCAAAACAACACAGCAATACCTGGGAATCCAAAGGGAAAACAGTTTTCAATCTAAAATTCTATTTCTAGAAAAATCCATCTAATCAAGGAGAGCAAGATAAGAATTTTTTACGGAAATTTTATAGCCTCAGTACCCTTTTTTAAAATAATTTCTTGACAAATACTCTAATGAATGTTTCCAAAAAAGCAGAAGATATATAGTATCCAGGAGAGGGTGGAATTTATCTAGGCATACGACGAAAGTCCCAGAATGATCATTTATAATTAAAACTGATTAAACTGTTGTGAAAAAAGATGATGGATTTTTTTGCTCCAAATAAAACTCTAAATTAGTGTCTCTGATTGGCAAGCACTCTCTCCCACGTGGTGTTTCAAGGACACATTTCTCAGCTGTGTCTCCACCAACCCGTATTATTGAGGGTCCAGGATTCAGCCTGTGGAAAAGAAAAGTGAGCAGAAAAGGCCACCTGCTCATCCTGCTCTGCTGATGACTTAACTCTGACTTTTGGGACATAGCTGATAGGCTGATCAGCCCTGATTTCATGACGCAAAGGAGTATCCAGAGATGTACAGGAAGAACACTGTAGATATCGCTGATTCCTTAGTTCCTAGAGATCCTGTCCTCCTCTCCCAACACTGCTCCAGTACCTGTTTCATTCACTTGCCTAAGCATATGAAATCTTCACATTCCATCAGGGAAACCAGAGGCAGAACGCACACCAAGCTGATCAGCAGGCTAGACCCGTCTCTTCTCATCCCATCTCTCCTTCTCATTGCCTATGGGTCCGTCCTCCTAGATTCTCTGAAATTATATGCTTGTTTCTGTTCACCTTGTACAAGGAGCTGTCAGAGGGTGCTC